AAAAGACTAATAATAGCAGTATGTTATGCACTGATAGCAGCAACAGCTTTTCCAGGTTTTGCAGTCATCTGAACAAAATAATAGACATTCAGCACATTCCATTAAAAAAAAAACAAAACAACAAAAAAACAAAACAAAGAAAAGAATAATATCCAGAAAACAGCAAAGTTCTGTTGCTATTGTGGTACCTGGCACCATTTTTTTATTAGCATCTTAATCATCATCTGGAAAGAGAACATTCTAGAGTAACATCATTAAATATAGCTCTGATAAAGCACGGTCACTACTATGTATCATAAAGCAGGTACAAGATATCTAATGTTCACAGAGGTATGGTACAGTACCATCCTACATCAATAATACTAGAATCAGTTTTGGTTTGAAATTTGCTTTGTCTGCAAATAAGATTGCTATCACTGCTTTTCTCTGGGCTCCTGCCACATGGAGAATTGTTTTCCATCCTTTCACTTTCAGTCGATGGGCTTCTTTTTGCACTAGGTGTGTTTCTTGTATACAACATATTGTTGGATTTTGCTTCTTATTCCATTTTGCCAGTCTATTTCTCTTGATTGGTGAGTTTAGGCCATTGACATTGATGGTTATAACTGATATGTACTGACTTATTATTGACATGTTATTGGCCTTTTGTTGACTCTTTAGTTTTTCACCTTCTCCTTTTAGTTTCTTGCCTTGCCTATTTGATTTGCTCTGTTGGGCCTCATGGTGTTGCCTTCATTGTCTTTTTCTAGGGTCTCGTTTAGAATTGCTTGTAGTGCTGGTTTGGTATTCATGTAGTTTCTCAGGTGTTCTTTGTCATGGAAGTGTCTTATTTCCCCATCCATTTTGAAAGAGAGTTTTGCAGGATACATCAGTCTAGGTTGGAGGTTGTTCTCTTTTAGTACTTGAAATATCTCATTCCAGGCTCTCCTTGCCCCAAGGGTTTGTGTTGAAAAGTCTGCTGTGATTCTGATGGGCTTTCCTTTGCATGTGATTTGTTTCTTTTCTCTTACTGCTTGTAGTATTTTGTTCTTCTGTTGATTATTATATGTCTAGGTATAGATTTTTTTTGATTGTAGCTAGTTGGGGTCCTATATGCCTCAGTTATCTGAATGTCAAATTCTTCCCCTCTGTTTGGGAAGTTTTCTGTCATTAATTCTGCAAACAGCTTTTTTAAGTCATTTGTATTTTCTCCTGCTACTTCATGGATTCCTATCAGTCTTATGTTATTCTTCTTTGCATCATCTAGGAGTTGTTGGATCGCTTTCTCATGATCCCTTACTGTTTTTAAGAGACCTCTCTTTTCATAGTCACTGACTGCAATCTTATCTTCTATATCTGAGAGTTTATCTTCGCATTCTTTTATTCTGTTGCGTACACTTTCAATGGGGTGTTTAATCTCCTGGATATCTGTTTGAATCTGTTTTATGGATTCCATTTATTTCCTATGTTGGGCGTTTATTTTTTCCATTTCTTTCTTATGCTGGGCCTTCATGGCTTCTATCGTGGTCCTGAGCTCATCTATTTTTTTGTCAGTTTCTGCTCTAGAGTCTCGAATCATGACTTCCATTTTGCTCACTATCTCTATGGTTATCTGGGAAATTATTTCTGTTTTGAATTTTTCTAGAGCCTGATCTCTTTGTTACTTCCTGTGCTTTGAGACCAGGGTGTCCTGGTGGTTCACTATCGGCCTTTTCATCCTCATTTGCCCTACTGTTTGCAATTGGTGAACTGGAAGTCTGTCCTTGTGTCTTGCTTAAGTGTTTTCTCATTTTTATTTTTGTTGTCGGACTGTCCTTGGTTTAATCTCTGGGTTATTACCCAGATCTTCCTGATATAGTTGCGCCCTAGCTTCTGTGTCTCTAACTACCCACAGACATTCTCATCTTCACATCAGAGAAACAGCTCATCAAACCATCAGCAATGCTTTATCCCAACTGATACAATCAGCAACACATTAAGATCAAGCACAACTTGAACATTGACCACCTGTGGTAGTCATTAGTCTATCACCCTTAAATCATTTGAATTAAATTGAAATCAAGAAGCAGTACAGAACATGTCTGCAGTGAACAAAATCTCAATATAGTGTATTTACCGTTTAATGGCTCAGACAGAGCGAGGATGCAAGACCCCTGGTCTCAGTTAGCTGATGGCTGAACCCCATGACGCTGACTGACCTCGGGCTGCAAGGTTCAGATTGAGTTCCCCAACCTTCTGAATGGTTGAGCTCCACACCGTTCTACTACAGGTTTCCCATGCCCTTTCTTTAAAGATGCTCAAAGTTGGGAAATCA